GATGGTAAAAAGCTGTTGATGTTATAGATTTTATGTGGCTATTGAAATTTAGGTCTGAGTCCAGTATTACCCCCAAATTTCTGACCTTGTCTGAAGGAAGTAGGGAGAGAGACTGAAGTTGACAGATGACGCCCTCTCTTTGTTTCTGGGGACCAAAGACAATGATTTCGGTTTTGTCTGCATTTAGCTGGAGGAAATTATTTTGCATCCACTCACTGATCTGTTGGATACAGTGAAGGAGCAAATCCAGTGGTCCATGTTCTCCTGCAGTCAGTGAGACATAGATCTGAGTGTCGTCGGCGTAATTGTGGTAGGACACTTTGTTTCTTTGTATTAACTGACCTAACGGCAGCATGTAGAGATTAAATAGGAGAGGTCCCAGGATCGACCCCTGTGGTACTCCACAGGTCAGGGCCACATGATCTGAGACGCAGTCTCCAATCTCCACAAAGTACTTCCTATCCTCCAGGTAAGACCTAAACCAGTCTAGGGCTGTGCCAGTGACACCAACCCAGTCCTCCAGTCTCTGCATGAGGATCTCATGGTCGACAGTGTCGAACGCGGCACTAAGATCTAACATGACCAAAACTGTGACTTTACCTGCATCAGTGTGAAGTCGAATGTCGTTTGTTACCTTCACTAGAGCGGTCTCAGTGCTGTGGTGGGGTCTAAACCCAGACTGGAACATATATCAAAAGAATTATTCATTGTTAAAAATTCAGTAAGTTGTTGGGAGGCCACTTTTTCAAGAATTTTTCCAATGAATGGCAGATTCGATATGGGGCGATAATTTTGAAGTCCCGCAGGATCCAGACTGCTCTTTTTTAGGAGAGGTCTTATGACTGCTGTTTTTAGGGCCATAGGAAATGTTCCTGACGACAGAGGCATGTTTACTATTTGTGTCAGTGAAGGTAACAAACTGCTCAGGACGGACTTCAGAAATTTAGAGGGCAATATATCCAGGCTACATGTGGAGGAGCTCAGACTCATGATTATCTTTTTGACAGTTTCAGTATCCACAGGTGCAAAGTGAGTTAGCTCAAAAAGCTTCTCTGGCTGTTGCATTGTTATACGTGCTGTGGAGGTGATAGTGTTTTTGATTCCTTGTACTTTGTCATCGAAAAACTGTGCGAACTCATTACACCTAGATTTAGAGGAAAATTCTAGGGGCAACTTTACAGGGGAGTTCGTTAATCTACCAACTGTTGAAAACATAACACGAAAATTGTTACTGCAACCTCCAATAATGTCAGAAAAATACATTTCTCTTGTTCTTCGTAGAACCCGGTTAAATTCACCCAACTCATCTTTAAAGATTTCATAATCGCCCTGGAAATTGGACTTTCGCCACTTCCGTTCGGCCCTCCGGCACTCTTGCTTCTGTGCCCTGACCGAGTCTGCCTTAGTCCATGGGGCCTTTTTCTTACTGGTAACTATTTTAACCGTCACAGGAGCAATGGCGTCCAGAACAGTCAGAACACTGGTGGTGACAGAGTTATACAATTCATCAACAGTAGAGCATGGAGTTTTCTCAAAATTTAGCATTCCCATGAACAGTTCACCTGTGTTTTCATGTATGTGTCTTCTTCTAACAATTGTAAATTCAGCTGGTGGTTTGCTAGCAAAACACATGTCAAAAAATACACAGAAATGATCTGACAAAGCAACATCAACTACATTAACATTTGATACATTAACCCCCTTTGTAATTAGCAGGTCAAGAGTGTGCCCCCTGCTGTGGGTGGGGCCACTCACGTGCTGAATGAAACCAAAGGTCTCAAGTACAGAAGCCAGCTCCTTTGCATTTCTGTCATCAACATTATCAACATGTACATTAAAATCACCTGTAATAACTAAACTATCAAAATCTGTGCACACGAATGAAAGTAGTTCAGTAAAATGGTCAATAAAATCGCAACATGACTGTGGTGGCCTGTACAGGACAATGAAAAGAGTAGAAGATTGCTTTTGTTCCATTTTAAAAGAAATATACTCAAACGATGAAAAATTTCCAAGGGGCATTCTATGGGAGACAAAGTGCTCTCTAAAAACTGCAGCTATGCCTCCCCCCCTTTTGTTTTCTCGTACTTCGGATTCGAATTTAAAATTGGGTGGTGTTGCTTCTATTAGAACTGCATTTCCTGTAATTTGGTCCAGCCATGTTTCAGCCATAAGCATAAAATCAAGATCATAAGAAGTGATAAAATTATGAATTAAAAATGATTTGTTACATAGAGATCTGACATTAAGCATAGCAAGTTTAAAAATAACGTCAGAGTCGATTAATGTGGTTGATTGATTTCTACAGGGAACAGAAATTAGATTTGCAGAGTTGGACCGTCTAACTGCTGTCCTGTTTTGATTTCGTTTTTTAGAATTTAAAAAATTTTTTGAGCTGGTGCGAGGAACACACACAGTCTCAATTGGACTAAAATGTGAAAACCCTTGTTGTTCTTTAGCTCCCAGAGTCAGAAGGGAGTCAGCACAGTTCAGTGTTTGGACTGGTAATGCACTGCCAGACGGACAGGGAGCAGTGTTTGCACCGTTGTACTCACCCGGTGCTGGTGAGCAGGAGGCGGGGGAGTGCGGTGGGGTCCGAGGGGGCTCAGATGTAAACAGTCACGCCCCCCTCGGGGAACGCTGAACAACGTAACGCATGTAGCCCATCAACAGGCTGCTACCGTATCTGTTTGGGTGTAATCCGTCTGGACGATAGGCTTCGTTACGTTTCCAGAAAAGGGCAAAGTTATTCACAAAGACAAAGTTAAAAGAGCTGCATGTAGCCTGGAGCCACATATGCAGCGCCACAACACGACTGTAGAGGCAGTCACCTCTGTTTACAGTCGGGATTGGACCAGAGATAAAAACAGATAATCCGGAGGATTGAAGGAGGTGGAACAGATCCATAAAATGTTTCTTAGTGACTTCTGACTGCTGAAGTTTCATGTCGTTAATTCCCACATGCACGACTACCTTGGAAACGGTATCAGGCAGGGACTGAAGCAGAGGAGGGAGACGGATGAGCAGGTCTGGTACAGTAGCTCCGGGAATACAGCGAGTGACCGCGTTGAAGAAGCGGACGTGTCTCACAATGGAATCTCCAATAATCAGAGTGGTCGGGGCGAAGAGTGGACGTGGACGCGGCCTCGGAGAAGGAGCTCGGTGGACGGAACCAGCGGGTTCACCCGAAGCAGGACCCGAGCCTGAGCGCCGCTGAACACATGGAGAGGAGGAGCGGGGGTGCTGACTCTCAGCTACAGGCGACCCACGCTGTGTGCTCGGGGACGCTGGAGCGGTGAGAGGGGCTGGCTCTGGGCGCTGCTGCTGACCCGGTGGAGGTGAGCGATGGTAATGATGGCTCGCTACCCCAGTCTGAGGCTGCTGCACTGGGGTCAAAGAAGGGGAACAGGCCAACATGGCTGGTGGACCGCTCTTTCGCCTGAGGACTGCTTCCTTTAGGAGCGTTTTCCTCGCAGTGGACTTGGATCCTCGAGCAGTAGAGTACGCTGCAGTGTCCAGGGATTCTGCTGAGGGGGCCGGGATGTCAGTGGAGAGGGCTGCATAGCGGTTTGCCAGACTCAGGACATGGGCCACGGCGCAGGATGGCTCCTCGGAATCCGCGGGCTCGTTGTTCGGAACCGGGCGCTTAGGCGTAGAACAGGAGGGTCCGGAGCTGACGGATCTCTCCCACACGACAGTGTCACAATATGCAGCACTCAGTGACATAAGCCGTGAATGCTGCCCACCAGCGACTTCAAAAAGTTTGGACACTAGAGATTGTTTCTCATTCAACTCTGCGGTGAGACGAAGGACTTCTTTTCGTAGTTCTGCAATGGTGGCACGGTCGCTCTCACGGAGCTCCAAGGTGAGGCGACTAATATTGTGCATGTTTGAGCCAATTTCATTGTCACTTTCCATGTCCTCGTTAGCTTGTGTTAGCCTCTGTGCTACTAGTGGGTTTCAGTCGGGACTAAGCGCTATTTGCTGAAACCACTGAATTAATAACATAAAACACTCAGATATATTAAAAAACTGAACAATAAAAACGCGCTAAAAAGTTGTTAAAAGTTTACTAAAAAGGTGCACAGAGCAGCCCTGCAGTACTGCTTACCGGAAGTCACACAGGTGATTGTTGTCACAGCGGCCCCAGCAGAGGTAAATACACACACAGTAATCACAGTTTAAGCGTCTACCTTTTGGCCAATCAGTGTCAAAGGGGCGTAGGCTCGAAGCGCCAGCGTGAGCCAAAATAGATCCATGCGTGTGCCGTGTCCGCAGCATCATCACATCAGAAGTTTGGGAAAGTTAGCGTCAGAATCGGACCTCCGCGGTCTCACAAAAGCTACTTTGTTAAACAAAATTAATTGTGCCAAAATGATCATTTACATCAATTGTTCAAATCCAATGTGCTGTTTTAATGAACATAAATCCATTGAATCATCCAGTTCACTACAAGTGCAGAGAAGAGCACTTAGGGAGCGTCAACCAATGGCAAGACCAGCTTTGTAAACGAACAATAGCTTTGACTGAAGCCATGTACCTGCACAAAACTCTCAGACACTATAAATAATGACCATGTCTAACTGCTACAGACTTTGATTTAAACATTTGTGAGTTTTTAAAAATATTTTAAATGAATGCATATGTCTTTCTTTTTTAAAATTGCTTTTATAGTGAATGGTATTTACTCTAACATACATAATGTATGTTACAACATTTGTCTCTTTATTCGTCTCACAACTGATTTTCTAACTCAAAAAATATATATATTAGATTCTAATATATAGATAAGTAACAATCTTGACTATTTTATGCAAGAACCTGCTAGACCTACATTGAAATTCACACACCAAATTATACCACAATATGAATTTTAGGCCATATCGCCCAGCCCTAGTATCACTTGTTACTGTTTTTACTAAATGTCTCTGGATTGTAAAGTATTAAACTATTGCTGCATCTGCCAATAACAAACTACAGTCAAGCAAAAACAACTATAATCAGGAGTGCAGCAGCAGGAGCAGCAGTAGCAGCAGGAGCAGCAGTAGCAGCAGGAGCAGCAGTAGCAGCAGGAGCAGCAGCAGCAGCAGCAGCAGCAGCAGCAGGAGCAGCAGGAGCAGCAGCAGCAGCAGCAGCAGGAGCAGCAGGAGCAGCAGCAGTAGCAGCAGCAGCAGCAGCAGCAGCAGCAGCAGCAGCAGCAGCAGCAGCAGCAGCAGCAGCAGCAGCAGCAGCAGCAGCAGCAGCAGCAGCAGCAGCAGCAGCAGCAGCAGCAGTAGCAGCAGCAGCAGCAGCAGCAGCAGCAGCAGCAGCAGCAGCAGCAGCAGCAGCAGCAGCAGAAGCAGCAGCAGCAGCAGCAGCAGCAGCAGCAGCAGCAGCAGCAGCAGGAGCAGCAGCAGCAGCAGCAGCAGCAGCAGCAGCAGTAGCAGCAGCAGCAGCAGGAGCAGCAGCAGCAGCAGCAGCAGCAGCAGCAGCAGTAGCAGCAGCAGCAGCAGCAGAAGCAGCAGCAGCAGCAGTAGGGCCTGGGACTCCTCACCTCTGTCTGTTCAGATTCCGATTCAGAACATTTTATTGGACCCAAAGGGAAATTCGTTTGCAGCAGAACCTCAAGGCAGGACACACACAGACACACATAGACACACATAGACACACACAGACACACATAGACACACACATACACACACAGACACACACATAGACACACACAGACACACATAGACACACATAGATGGGTGGCACGGTGGCAGAGTGGATAGCACTCTTGCCTCTCAGCAAGAAGATCCTGGGTTCGAATCCCGGTCGGACCAGGGCCTTTCTGAGTGGAGTTTGCATGTTCTCCCCATGTCTGCGTAGGTTTCCTCCGGGTTCTCCGGTTTCCCCTACCACTAAAAATATGTACAATAGGTCTGGCATGCGCCTCCTGTACTGGCCCCGCTCCCATCTCTGTGTGGAGTGAGAGACAAATGCCCAGAAATAACAATTGTAAACCGCTTTGTGACTCTGGTCTGTGAAAGGCGGTATATAAATAAAGATTACTTACTTATAGACACACACAAACACGATTCAGCAGCAGGAGCTTTAAACGACGTCCTGAAGGCATCATTATGAAGTCAGCGATCAGTGGATGTTTGGGCTAGGCCACTGGACACTTTGCTTTATTCAGCACCTGTTCCTCCCACAGAGAGGGAAGGTCTCTTGTACACCACAATTCATGCACAAGTCAGAAGTTAGTAAGTCAGTAAGTTAGTAAGTAAGTCAGTAAGTTAGTAAGTTAGTAAGTAAGTAGGTGGCCTGTCTCACATTTTCAGGAAGACTATTTAAATGTTCAGAACCAAAATCACAGTAAAAATGTAAAATATTTTCTCTTGAACTGAAACATTAAACCGTTCTGTCTGTTTGTTACAGTCACAGCTTCTGTAATCTGATACTAAAGAAACAAGGAGTCATTCATCACAGGTGTGTGTATGTGTGTGTGTCTGTGTGTGTGCGTGTGTGTGTGTGTGTGTGTGTGTGTGTGTGTGTGTGTGTGTGTGTGTGTGTGTGTGTGTGTGTGTGTGTGTGTGTGTGTGTGTGTGTGTGTGTGTGTGTGTAGACCTCCCGCAGCCTGACCTCTGACCCTGAGGTGGTGCAGCTGCAGTGAGACTGATGGGACCTGTCCTCTGTGTTTACGACTTCTGTTTGTGAAACATTTACAAACGACCTGTGCTCCGTCTTCATTTAGTGCAGTCACCACACGACACACAAAAACACACACAACAGGACACACAAAAGCACACACAACAGGAGAGAGAAACCTGTTGGACGTGTTTTGGAACATGATGAATGTATTTGGAGATGTTTAACCGAAAGTCTCACTGTAATTTCAGACAGTGAGACTTTTCATGGCCATAACCTGCAAGTGAAAGCCAGATCCTTTCAGACCTCTAGAGCTAAGCAGGGCAGGACCTGGTTAGTGCTGTGATGGGAGACCTCTGGGAACAGCAGGGGCCACAGTGGAGCAACTGCGGCTGTAAAGTACCAGACTGTGGTTGTGTCCTTAGGCAAGACACTTCCCCCACATTAGAATGAGTCTGGTGTGTGTGAATGATTGGTGGTGGTGGGAGGGGCTGATGGCACAGACTGGTTGCCTCGCTTCTGTCAGTGTGCCCCAGGGCATCTGTGGCCACAGTAGTAGTTTATCACCACCGTGTTTGGAGAGAAAGAATAATAATGCATTATTATCATTATTAAAGCTACATACATCGTGCTACACCACCTCTGTGTCCTAAAGTGCTGTTGTATTTTATTATTATTGTTGGAAACCTTTAGAATTATGCTAGTATTTGTTTTGTTTGAATAAATGGGTGTGTTTCTGCTGCTACTGGACTTCTGATTTGCTCCTACGGGGATCAATAAAGTGTCTGTCTACAAGAGAATGAGTGTATTTCTTAATGCATTGGTATAACAGCTGAAATCTTAAAAAAGCATCCTGCTCTTGGCTGGCCTCGTCAACCACTCACCCACTTATTGAAATATATTGATGCAAAATCTTTATTCCTTTCTCAAAGCAACACCACCCTTTACCTGAACTCACTGCCATTTCACCCTCACAATCCTTTCAAATATCACCTTTAACTGCTCTTAAAGGTTCTGTCCTTGGGCTTGTGTTTAGTGTGGCTCAGGATCTACTGAACAGCGACCCGGGGCCAAGCTGCACTTTTCCCATGGTCGTAAACGGCCCCTGAGCCTGATGTTGGCCATAAGGGTTATACAGGGATCAGGGGACAGAGGCGCTGCCAGAGAGCCCTGTGATCTTATTAAACACATAGAAGCTGTAAGTGTGTGTGTGTGTGTGTGTGTGTGTGTGTGTGTGTGTGTGTGTGTGTGTGTGTGTGTGTGTGTGTGTGTGTGTGTGTGTGTGTGTGTGTGTGTGTGTGTGTGTGTGTGTGTGTGTGTGTGTGTGTGTGTGTGTGTGTGATTTTATTAAACACATATAAACTGTAAGTGTAGGGTCCATAAGGCCACGGCTGGCATTGTGTTTGACTATTTATGACGAGAGGATTCAGGAGCTTGTTTTGTATTGTAATAAGTGTGTGTGTGTGTGTGTGTGTTTGTGTGTGTAAGTGTGTGTGTAAAGGTACAGGTGCACTTTATTAATCCCCGTAGGGCAATTCATCCTCTGCATTTGACCCATCCTGATGCCACGAAGGCTTACGTAAGGAGCAGTGGTCGCCGTAGTAACAGCGCCTGGGAACCCATCTCCAGATGTTGATGCTCGACTTGGTCAGGGCCAGAGCTGGAGGATTTGACCTAGTGTGCATGTTTTAGTCGTAGGGGAAACCTACGTAAGCTCTTATGTATGTGTGTGTCAGAGAAGAAGCCTGTCTCATATTTTCAGGAAGACTGAAATGCCGCCTCTCCATGTTTAGCCCTAACTCTGGGCACCAGCAAGAAGGTCCTTGGTTCGAATCCCGGTCGAGTGTTTGCATGTTCTCCCCGTGCCTGCGTCGGTTTCCTCCGGGTGCTCCAGTTTGCCCTACCGCTAAAAACATGTACATTAGGTAAAATCCTGCAGCTGCCGTCCTGACCAAGCCAAGCATCAACAACTGGAGGTGGGTTACCGGGCGCTGTTACTACGGCAACCACAGTTCCTGACAGACGCCCCAGTGGCATCAGGATGGGTCAAATGCAGCGGATAAAGTGCCATAAGGGGATAAATAAAATGTTCCTTTCCTCCTGCATGTCCCTGCCTCCTCACAGGTGGGTGGTGGGCTCGATGGGAGTCAGTATTCCGTCTCTGTCACCGTGTGCCAGCTGGCTCGGGACCAGAGGAGAGACCCCCGTAGAGGAATCAAACAGGAAGCATCCAGAAACACCTGACCAAACAAATGCAGCAGAAAGTCCACGATGTGCACACGGAACATGCTAATGCTCCGTTTCGGGGTAAGACGAGATAACGAAAGCCCAACAGCGTGAAATCGTTGTGTACTTTGGCTAGCGTTTCCATGAGCTGAAGCTAAACAACAGCACATGCTAAAAGGCTAACGTAACAGCTAGTTTGCAATCAACAGAGAGCTGGAAAATGTGTTTTTAATGCGCCGTAAAGAAAGGGTTTCATCACTAGCATCTGCAAACGATTTCTGTTTTCCTCTGACATGTGTTTACGTTGATTTGCATTGATTCTGTATGAAACAGATCCATGTTCATGTTTGTTTAAGTCAATATGGACGTTACAACTGGTGAAGGTAAGTCTCACTGTCGGTGTAGTGAGTGTCGTGCCATAGTTTCACATTTAAAAATTAACAAGACATTGAGTGACTGCAAACCAGGAACAAGACTAAAGTTCTACAAAACACTGAAAACATCAAAAACATTCGAAACATTTCACCTCTGTTCCACCATTACACTTTTAGATCCTTATTATTGGAGTGGGATCTGAGCAAACCTGTGTGTGTTAAATGTATGAATGTTAATTGTTTGTATTGTACTGTATTATATGCATTGTGTTGTTTAATGTTCATTGGACCCTCTCAAAAATCAGATGCTGCGTCTCAAGAGGTTTTCCTTAAATAAATCTAAATCTAAGATCAAAAAAGTTAAAGAATTTCTAAAAATAAAAACTTCAAAGAAAAAAAACTGTTCAAGTTTCTATTGAAGTCAAAGAAAATGTTAGAAGTACAGTTTATAAGTTAGAAAGATACATCTACTAAAAGTGAAAGCCGCCGAGAGACAGTGGCCCTCACTAATGAAACGTGCAGAAACGGGAGTATATTTTGGGTGTATATTCCAAATACGCACGATCCAAAGCAGGATTTATGAACGTGTGAGCTCCGCCCAGATCTGAGCACCGCAGCTGACGATGAATGAACCTATTTATGAAAGTCATGCCTAGAAATATGCAGCAACTGCCTGATTCACGTCCGTTTTTACAACAATTGAGAGGAAACGGCAAAGAAAACAAACTTCACGGAGCAGGAGATTGAGACCATTATAGTCTTACTATTTGGAATCCTCAAAAGTGGCATCAGGGAGCTCAACAAAGCTCATGACAGCATCTGTAAACAGCGTGGGGGCGGTAACACTCCTGAAGAGGGGAGTTTATTCAGGTTTGTTTAAAAAGAAAAATATGCTATATTATATCAAACAGTTGACAGATACATTGGGCCAATAGTTAGAATTTATTCATTTATGCCACAGGTGAAAAAAAATGGAGCAACCTTAAAATGGAAACAAAAAGGCGTTTAGCAGCTCATAGAAGAAGTGCTCAGCAGCCCAGGGGGAGGACCGCCAGACCAACGCATCCACAAGAAAATATTAAGAAACAAAATTATCTTCAAATGATTATTATTTAAAAATGGTTGAATCAGCCTGTCGGAGCCGTACCGGCTGAAGGCGGTTCTGGCCATGGTCCAGTGGCGGGCCGAGCATTTCAGACCTGCGCCTGCACTAATGTCCAAACCCAGCCATCTCTGACTTTTCACTGCCTTTTTCTTTTTTCACACAGAAAAAGGTGTTGAAATCCATGAACATAAAAACTTACCAAATTTTGCAACAAATTTTATCCATCCATTTTCTTCCCCTTAATCCATTTCTGGGTCGGGGGGGGTGGCAGTCAGAGCTGCACCCAGTACACTTAGCACCAGCCCCTCACTGATCCTCCTGCAGGTGGTGAGTCCACAGGAGCTGAGATCTTTCAGTGGGAGCTTCAGGCAAAGTGGGGTTAAGTGTCTTGCCCAAGGACACAACGACAGCAGTCATCAGTGGGAGTCGTGAAGTAGGTCTTATGGTGGGCTTGAACCCACGACCTTCAGGCCCAAAGGCCAATGCTCTACCAACTGAGCTACTGTCGCCCAACAAATTTTATTCTGGCAAAAATATCAATAATTTAGTTTTAACTTTTGTAGGTCATTTTCAAGACGACTTCCACTTCTGTTTAAAGTCTGTTCCGGTTTCTTCTTTAGATCTCAGGGTCAAAGGCGACCAATCAAACTCAAGTCTCTGGAGCCAGATCCTCTCAATGACAAGAAAACTAAACTAAACCAAATTTGTGGCCATTGTAAGCGATTCTGTTGCATTTATAAAGTGCCGGTCAAGACACCAAAGTGCTGCTGCTGCCTCAAACTGTTGCATTCAATATGAACTAAAGCTTCATATTTCATGCAACACATCACACTAATCATTCATTCCAAACGCGGCGGCGGTGAGCTACTAGCCACAGCTGCCCTGGGGCAATCTGCTGCAAGTGAGGCTGCCATAGAGGCCCCTCCTACCACCACCTGCCATTCACACACGCACAACATTCACACAAGGCAAAGTGGGTGAAGTGTCTTGCCTAAGGGCACAACGGCGAGTTTACAGCCGCCCCACTGTAGGTCGCACCTGTGGGAACACTAGGTCTCCCATCACAGCGGTGCCCAGGCGTCGCACTTAGGAGACCAGGCCCAATGTTAGCATCATGACAGGCAAATGCACTGAATCTTCTGGTTTTGGGAAATGTTGACTTGATATGACCAGAGAGAGAGACCAGAGAGACCAGAGAGACCAGAGAGAGACCAGAGAGAGACCAGAGAGAGACCAGAGAGAGACCAGAGAGGTCCGCCAAATTGTGCTGTTCCTGTGATATTGAGATCTTTTTTCGTTGTGGAAGTGAGACAACCTTCAGTCCATGTTGTCTTAAAAAGGTCTATCAGGAGTTGGGGAATGATATTTGAGAATGGGATTTGGGAATAGGAGTTGAGAATGGGAGTTGGGAATGGGAGTTGGGAATGGGATTAGGGAATGAGAGGATTTTGTTTGTGTTTTTGGTGTCTTAATAACACCTGGACATGTTTCTGTCCTGTTCAGGGGCGTGTCCATTTTTCAGCTGCTGTTCCAGTATTTGTGCCTCCAGTTGTCTTATCTTAACCGCTGCATCCAACTTTGCCTCCTGGATTTGATAACTGAATAAGTCGCGGAGATCTTGAATGTGCTTCTTTGCAGATTCGTCCAGGTCACTTATCGGCCTACTTTGGTTTTCCACCTGTTTCTTGATGCCCACCTCTTGCTTCTTCTTGCCTTCAGACAGTGCTGTCAGCTCGCCATATTTGGTCTCTAACATCTCTCTTGCCACACTCTCCAACTCTTTTCTTTCCTTTTCAGATGATTCCAAGGATTCTCTTAACCTCTGGATCTCTTCAAGGTGGCTCTGCTGAACCCTTTCCATCTCTATATGTTCTTCCTCCCACTCTTCTACGGTGTTGTCGGCTTCATCATACGCCTCCTCAATCTCGGCTTTGAGTTTTGCAATGTTCTCCTCCATCCCTGCAATTACAGAGTTTTTCATGAGGAGATTTGCGCTATACTCCTCTAACTCTTTCTGTGTCTTGGCCAGCTGCTGTTTCTCTTTCTCGTTGTTTTCTGTCAGATCGCGGGTCACTTGGTCTTTCAGCTTGAGCTGCTTCTTCAGCTCTTGGATGGTTTGATCTGAAGTCTTCTTGGCCTCATTCACAGCCTCTTCCACCTCCTGAGCCTTGACTTCATTCATGTAATTATTTTGCCACACGAGAAGTCTTATTGTAGCGTGTACGTTTTTCAGCTGATTTTCCTGATCTAGGATTCTGGTCTTGAGGTCCTTATTCTCCGCTTTGACTTTGGAGTTTTCTTCCTCCGTCGCAGCAATGACAGAGTTTTTCATGAGAACATTTGCGCTACACTGCTCTAACTCTTTCTGTGTCTTGGTCAGCTGCTGCTTCTCCTTCTCGTTGTTCTCTGTCAGATTATGGATTGCTTTGTCTTTCTGCTCAAGCTGCTGCTTCAGCTCTTGGATGGTGTGTTCTGACGTCCTCTTGGCCTTCTTCAGAGCCTCCTCAAACACCACCGTCAGAGCCTGGAAATCATCCATGTACTTTTTCTGGGCCGTAAGAAGTATTTTCTCTGATGCAGCGTGTACATTTCTCAGCTGACTTTCCTGATTCAGAATGTTAGTCTTAAGCTCTCTATTCTCGGCTTTGACTTTAGTGTTTTCTGCCTCCATCGTAGCAACAACCAAGTTTTTCATGAGGACCTTTGCACTATTCTCCTCCAACTCTTTCTTGGTCGTGGCCAATGTTGCCTTTAACTGAGAAGCTTCTTTGCCCAGTTTTGTTTTTTGCTCCTCCATCTGCATCTTCAGCTTGTCTATGTAGCTGTTAGCGTCCTGTATCTGAGCGTTCAACAGCTCCATCGCCTCCTGGTTTCTGTCAATCATCGCCTGTTTCTCGTCTTGGTGTTTAGTGACGATCGACATATACCGGATGGTGTCTTCAGCATTTGCTTCTTTCAAGGCCTGGAAATCCTCCTGAGCCTTCTGCAGTTTCCCTGTGGTATCACTCAGAGCCTCTTGGAGATCTGTTTTCTCCTGGACAGTATCATCCAGTTGGCGTTGGGCAGACGTGGATCTTTCTGAAGCCTGCAGTAGAGCCGTCTCTAAGGCAGACCTCTCTGTCTGGAGCTGGATCACCTGCTGCTGCTGTTGGTGACTCTCTTCCTGATGAGTCTTCTCCAACTTGCTCCACTGTTTCATCTCTCTCTTCATATCCTCCTTCAGACGCTGGTGTTGTCCCTCCAACATCATGAGGTAGGATTCAAGCTCTTCTATCAGCTTGTCCTTCTTTGATTTTCTTCTTAAGCACGACATTTTGCTCCGTTGTGTCTCTTGCGGTAAATTTGGTCCGTTTTCTCCTGAAGTCAGAAATATGGGTCCTGTTTGGGGCTCTCTCCACACACAGACACTTGTACTGGGGACTTTGGAACTTTGATGATGTCATGTTGCCGTGACGATGGATCAGTCCTTTGGTTCTGGAATGCGGCAGGTTCAGTTACCATGGCGATTTTTTTGATCACCATTGAGTAAATATAACGAAGTACTCTTAATTAAAATAATAACTCAAGACGGCTGGTTGGTGAAAACGTAATTGTTTTAAGTACAACATTAGGTTTGTCTTTCAGTGTTTGCGACAACTGCTCAAATGCACATTGTATTAATATTATTTTTTACATGTTTTTTAAATTTATTTTAAAATGTAACAAAACAATTAAACACACAAACATAAATTAAGAAACAAACAAACGATGTCCTTATACTGTCCAATGTGCTTTTCCTCACCGGGATTTGTCTTTTTAATTTAACCTCTTAAGCTTGCCCCTGCCGGTGGGGGCAAACGAGAAAAGAAATACATCTGCTGGCAATAGCAGATGTATTTTGAACTTCCTAAGCCACAAACTATATATCATTTTAAAGCTTATTTTCTCAGCTATATTTATATGTAAGTGTAAACGATATCAGACTTTGCATTAAAAAGATATAACGCATAATATGGGCACAACATAAATTGTGTTTGTATAAGTTTCTTACCTTTCGTCTTCTGCTGCTCCAACAAATTACACTTTCCCCATCCTTGCTTAGTCTCTTTCTCTCCGTAAGTCTTCATTGAAAAAGAATATCCATTTATTTTCCAAAGTATAATCCATTCTTCAGAAATAATCCAAATATGTGCATTTTTCTGTTGCAAAAAAAAAAACGCTCCGAAAAATGTTCAGGCTTCTCTTTCACATTTCACCAAGTTTGAGCTTTGTTTAGCCCCACAAACCTCATATCCACGTGTTCCTTGAGTCCTTAGCTTTAACACTAGCAAACCCATGGAGGTGCCATTTGGCACTTCTACCTAAAAAGCCCACCACGGTGCCAAATGACTCCAAGGATTTTAGCTAACAAACTAAATCACCTGTGAACGGCCAACTTTGTTATGTAAATAGGGCCGTTATCACAGGCTGAGCTGAAGTTGCTTCACTTTGCCATCTTAGGGGGAGGGGGAGGATCTGAATAGTTCCTCCACAACACTGAGTCATTGCAGCTCTCAGGTGAATTACAGCTTTCACTCATGAAGAGGTGTGTTATATTGTTTACATTGATCAGAGTTCTACCACAACGCTTTTTTGTATGTTTGTTCTATATAAAGAGACATAAGTTACTGTATTATTGCATATGTGAAATACACACCACTTTACTTTGCCATCTTAGGGAGAGGTCAACACACAGTTTTTTTTTGGTTAGTGAGATTTATTGATTTTAAATGCTACAAAATAAGAAAACTGCAGATAATTACACAATATATACAGTATATGCATCATCAGGCTCCACAGTCCTTGCACTGCCATGGAATCTCTCTTCTGCATTGTCCACATGTGTATCTGTAGCAGTCGACACATCGCACAGAGGCATGATTCTTCTTGCACTGATGTTTCACCTGACACAGGGGTCTTTTTCCAGGGCTTGGTGTGGAGGGTTGTTTTCGAAGCATTTCTTCCTTTTGTGCCTTCTTTGCACCAACGTGAGAGTGAGCCAATTCCCTTGCAAGCGCCACCAGAAAGGCCACCCGTCTCTCCTGCTTCCCGGTACATGCTTGATAAAGAACATGTGCGTTCAATGCTGCCATATCAATCATATTATAGAACACAGCGACTGGCCAGCGCCGTGTTCCTGAGCGGACACTGTACTCCCGCACCATCTGGTCCATAATATCCACGCCGCACTTTGTGGTATTGTAGAGGGTGACCGTGTTTGGCTTCCTTTTGGTGGTATCTTCCGTCTGAACGAGGTTGTGCATGCTGCTGAGAATGTAGACAGCCTTCTTCCGTTTGGGAGTGTAAACTGTGAGAGTCGCACCCGTGGTCGAAAACAACTGAGTGGTGAATTCGTTACGGTCCATACGTCTTGTAGATGGAGGAATTTCCCGGCGAATTTTGTTGACTGTGCCAAGGATGGTAGTTTTTCGTTCAAGCAGTCGTTTTGCAAGTGATAGCGATGTAAAGAAATTGTCCGTGGTCACATTTCTGCCCTTGTCCAGGAATGGTTCCATCAGCCTCATCACAACAGTTTCCGACAGTCTCTCACCGCTGGGACGACCGGGGTCCTTGCCAAGATATGGGAAGACATTGCAAATGTACTTGGATTTCAAGTCGCAGGCCACCCAAAACTTGATCCCAAACTTGTCAGGTTTAGTAGCGATGTACTGCAGGAAACAGCAGCGGGTCTTTGATGGGAAAAGCTGTTCATCAATGGTGATGTGTCGACCGGGATTGTACAAAGTGAGGCAGTTGGTGACAAACGATCCCCACACATCAGACATTGCAGCAAACTTATCAGTCTTTGCTCGGTCTTCGCGGGTGAACTTGTCGTCAAAGCGTAGGTGTTGCATGATGTTTTGGAAGCGGTTTCGGGACATGATTCCAATGATGTCTGGGTGTCCCAGGTCTGCAGACCAGCAGTCACGTAGTGAAGGCATTTTGGTGAGCCCACGAAAAATGGCAATTGCTATAAATGCCATTAGTTCTGGAAGGGCCATGAACCAATCGTCGTGCTCCGTTTGCGTTGCATGTTGAATAGTCCATTGTTGAATGGTACGAAGCATTTCAAGAGTAATGAAACACAGAAAGCTCTGAAGGCGACTTGTGATGCTACTTTTGGCCTTAGCTGTTGGCTCTCCGTCTGCGGCATAAGTTTCTAATCGAGTAGCATCCCCAGCTGTTCTTCATGCCACACCGTGCCATCTTTCGCTGTCTCAGTCACTTCAGTCCCAGATCGAGCTCTCTTTTTTGGCTGAGGAGCAGGTTCCTCATCTGCAGAATGAACAGAATATAAATATTAACTTTGGATGAAAATATAATACAGAAACAACAGACAACAGACAACAGTCACTCCACTTTACCATTTTATTAATTTACCTTGTTTAAAATGAAATATAACAATGGAAATAATATTTAAAAAAAACAAACCTGAAGAGAGCTCAGACGACTCAGGGTCCGAAGCCAGCTGAAGGTTGATCTCCTCTCCATCTGAGTCGCAGGGGTTGACTTCACTCAGGATCATGTCCAGCGCCTGTTGAGTGTTGAGTCTTTTCTGCATCTTTGAAGGAGGTTTGCACACCACAGAATTTTTGAGGGCAATGAAGTAGTCAGGCCCTGTGCAGTGCTGTATATATACATCTCAGCACAACAGGCATGACCACCCATTTTAGCATAAGCTATAGCCCATATATGTGCCAATTCACACCTGCTCGTGTGCTTAGCTTGTTGCGTAGAAGAAAAATCAATGATGTCAAACAGGTTTAACTAATAATTTTGAGAACTTTAAGTCTGAGAAATGAACCAAAGCAACTGTGTTATTTTAATTTAATGTAAATTTAAACATTAAATTGACGTTGCATGTTTGTATTCTTATCTCTTCTGAATAGTCATTCCCTATAAAACCAATAGTCCTAATTTCAACGCTTTGGTCATCACATACAAAATTGTTGAACTAGTTCAAAACCAAAATCTGTAAAGCTCATTTAATAAATTCCTTTCTCTTTTTATAACCTGATAATCTTTTCTAAATTGAACAATTGCTCTCAGATGATTTTCAGCTTCACTCAGAGGTGTGTGTTTATTGCTTACATTTTTCACAGTTCAACCATAATGATATTTCTTACTGTATGTTTGTTATGATATGCAGAAGTTGGGTAAATATGTGTATGTGACTGTATTTTTGTTGCACAATACTGTAGAATTGCAAAGAGCAAATGCAGTAAATATGTGAAAGACATACAGAACACAGACAAGCAAACTACATGTACATTCGTACAGACATATACATACATACATACACTTTACATACCTCACTAAATACAGTCACAATGAAAACATGACTAAACCATGAGACTGACTTTTGAGAGAGTGACTTTTGCAGGTCTGAGGAATGCATTGTCCTCACAGACGCTCCAGTACTTCCTCCCCCACACGAATAAACAACCCACCCCAGCCCCTGCTGTTTTCGGATAATACCCAAATTTGCATGTGAATGTTAGCAACCAACCTAGCAAATTAGCTTCTGCCACCCCAAAGTGTAGTCTGAAATCGTTGGGTTTTCTAGTGTTAAAAAGAGAGGTTCCATGAAAAGATAGGAGCAGGTTTCAGTCCGCAGGACCCTTGTGAAAAAGACAAACTGCATCCACTTGCACAGAGTCCGTTTTTGCCTTGTTGTTGATTACAGGCTAGCGCTAGCACTGAATGATTGACGTGTCTAAGTAGCCAATAAAAAGAGCTTTCTTTTGATGGGTGGGACTTGTAGGAACTCTTTTCATTTTCACAGTAAAAGCGTGCGTAAAGACACTGGTAGTTCTGCTGCTCATATTTTATATGCATTTACACTACTAAAAAAAGAATTTTGAAAAAATGTAAAAGAAAATCACACAGATTTGTAACTTATAAGTACCAAAACTAAAAAATATGCTTTTTATGATGGTGAAATGTTAGCAAAGCAGTTTGGCACAAATTTTGTCAAATTGGTTCCGAATGGCACTGCTTGATAAAAAAGAGAAACTGCATAAAAACTATAAAACTTAGAAGTCTGAAACTTTACACAGTTGTTGTCAACAACACAATGAACAAATTGGCGTTGAAAATGTTCTTCTTCCAATGAAGTAGGCTTTTTTAGGGCATTTATACATTGAATTTATTAGGCGAGGCTAATAAAAACAGGTTTTTTCCCCAAACTTCAAAGGATGCAGAGTAAAATAGGAATGAAATACATTATTTCAGTGTATATTTACATAAACTAGAAGGGCCTAGCTTTAAAATGATGCATCACACAAGCATGTGAGATGTAAGATGTGTTTTTAAATAAGCAAAGACATTTGGGTATGCCAAACTTTTGTGCACGAGCCAAAACAGATGTAGAGTTAAAACCCGCCTCATTTTGGCTTGTGCACAATGGTTGAGACAGGACACCATTGTCCCACCCCTTGTTCGAAAGCGTTCCTCATTGGCTACAAGGACATGTCAATCGTAAATCCCGGAAGTAAAAGCAAACAAGTTGGGACCCCACAAAAGATCAGTGATCCATGCGCAAACAGCAGCGCAAGCTGTACTTACGGGACCTCTTGCAGACCCAAAAATTGGTCTAGCTTTTCGGGAGTAGTCTCATTTGAAAGATAAGGAGCTAAGGAACACGTAGATACCAGATGGGTGAAAAACAAAGCTAAAAGTCCGTTAAAAGTAAAAGAGTAACATCTGTGCTCTTTTTTTTCGTTTTTTTTGCTAAAGATAAATGCACATTTTTGGATTATTTCTGCAGAATGGATTTTACTTTGGGAAATACAAGTGGATATAATTTTCCTTTGGACTGTTCCAGAGAGAATGATGTATTGCAAGCTGGGAGGAGAGCTGATTTATTTGTACAGCACAAGCCCAAAGGTAAAAAACTATTTCGGAATTGATTTATTTTGTGCCCACATTATGTGTTATATCTTTTGAATGCAAAGTCTGATGTGGTTTTGTATATAAATGTAGATAAGAAAATAGGCTTTAAAATGATATACAGCTTTTGGGGTTTGGTGTTCAAAATACATCTGCTATTGCCAGCAGAACATTTAAAACATAAAAACGGCACGCCGGCGCGCCGGTTGTTGTAAAAAGGTTAAGAGGTAAACTATCATCATTCATTATAAATGTTATTATACAATGTGACAAACATGTAGTACCTGACAAAGACAGAAAAGTTCTCGTGTTTCTAAAGCCTGGTTCACACGAGACGATTTTAAAATTGTCGGCCTATTTTTTCTCTGTGTGAGACCCCACACATGGAGATAAAAAATCACGGGTCTAACCACTTTGGTCGTACAGTGTGTGGTGCAGCCACACGGAAAGATCACACAAACCACACACATCACACATGAACCGATTTCACCCCCGAGCATTCACAGGTCACCAGAAATCTCACCACATCTCTGGAGATCAAGCGTGACTTCAGAGTAAACAGAGTGTGCGGGCCTCTCTGCTTCACGCAGCCTATAGAGACTCTGGTCTGACCACAGCAGCCACAGACACCATGAGGACAAACACATACAGTTCTCTGGCCCGTACTGTCTGTGCTGTTCAACAATACAGACAGTACGGACTACCTGTGAACGCATCACACACACTGCTACACATGAAACTTTACATACGTGCAAACCAACAAGCACGGCTGCAGTAACGGCTGCATCAACACGTCTGTACTGTATTAGGACAGAGTGCAAAGTAAACGTACAAACACAACCATCAGTCTGACCATTTATGCCGCTTTTGCACAGTCCTAGTACGGTACGTTTTGACTCTACACGGCGCGCCATGGCCCAGTTCGCGTGCTTTTCCATCAAAAATAGTACCCCCAGTATGTCCTCAGCGTTGTCAGACCACGTCATTTACGTGTGACGCGTAACTAGTACCGGTGCGGTGCATTGATTTATTATAATATCAGAGCAAGTGTTTAATAGAAAATTCAGCACAGTACAAGTAGTTTTTGAAAATGCTTTTGTCTTAAAAGAATGACTCGGAAACTGTGAAGTCAATGGTGCTGACTGCTCTGTACAATCTGAATGGGACCTGTAGAAACAGCAGCCTGTGTAGCAGAGGAGGGCGGCTGCATGTCCGAGGATACGGCTAGGCTATAGCTAATGCTAGCGCTAGCTTGAGACTCAGCTCACTCACTAACCCTGGATTCCAAAGCTACTACAATACTACACTTAACACATCATTGCCATCAGAGAAGGATCCAGGGTTTAAACTCGTCATATGGCAACTCGAGCAGTAAAGGACCGAGGGAGAGACAGCGGCAGCCATAGGGGTAGCGGGTTAGCGGCTAGGCTAAGCTAGGCTAGGCTAGTCCGGACTACAGCAGACTCCGAGACCAGACAAACAATCGATACCCGAACCTCAGCTACAATAATAATAAATCCATGAAACACAGTCTTGATACAATCACAGATTTATCACAGTCGCACAGGGAGGACGTTAGCTTAGCTGCTATCGATAGCTAAATGAAGCTAATTGTAGCTAGCTCACCGTGTACAACAGACAATCGAGCATGTACACAGTAAATACATTTCAGTGAGAGCTTTAACAGGATACGTAGCTAACCAGTTATTTCCAGGATTACCACAGACTAGTCACAAATCCAGAGCTGGGTGATTCAACTGTGTTGAGCCTCGAGCTGCCTTTGAATTCTTTCTTTGGCCTGAAGAGAGGAACGTGTGGACCTCGTCCACCGACCAGGACCAGGACTTACATGACAACATTTAATAAAGTGTACCAAGTTTGGTCCCGATTTGTTGCCGTAGCACAATACGACGACACGCATGCGCACCACGCCATTCCACAACGTGGAGACGTCTGGAACAAAAGCCCTCATAAGGTATTTTTATTTACTTTGCATTGATATTTATCATGACATTTCGCTGCTAACTAATCAAATTGTCAAAGGTGTATGTATTTATTAGACTCTCAGCGAACCTTATCAATAATCTGCCGACGTACCGCCATTTCGTTTGTTACTATACTTTACGTAGTCCGCCCTTTCAGAAGACATTTTACATGAATTGTAGGGCTGGGCGATATGGCAAAAAAAAAAAATCTCCGATTTTTTCACACCAAATCCGATTTTCGATTTTAATCGATTTATTTGTTTCTATTTAAAAACAAACTACAACTGACAAAGAAATAGATTTTCCTTTATGCAGTTTAATCTAAATCCCCATGGAGCATAAGTGTAACAGGAATTAAGCCTTAAAACATGCTTGTAAACGAGATGGCTCTGCCATTGTAAACAGTGAAAATGTAGCTTAACAGTTTTATAATAACTTCACTTACAATGACACTATGCACCTTCAAAATAACTTAAATCACACAAACAAGGCCCATCGCAAATATATCAATCCTATTAAACACATGCATTATTTACATGAAATATCACATTTTTAAAACTGATTACTCAAAATAGAAATGTTGTAACAGAGTCTTTTCCAAAAGCCTCCTCGGGTTTTCATGCTTGTTCTTTCAACTGTGCCTGAGTAACTGTGCTGTAGTACAACGCTCGGTCCAGCTGGTGGC